TGTGTGACATCTTTGGAATGTTTCAGCCAGAAATCTCAACTCTCATGCTGCTCAAGTCTGTTCCAAATGGAAAAAAATGGAATTTTGATACTTATCCCCTAATATCGGTTTCTTTTTTGTTCCTGCCACATCCTGTGTACTCTTTAGATTCTGGACTAGTGTTTGTAGGAAGGGTTGATTATAAACGATCATTATTTTCCTAGACAACTAAAAAGAGTTAGTTACTTTGGGGAATTAAATCAGCTGAAATTGTACACAGCAACACAGATCCCCATGCAGAGCTGGGGTACTCACTCAGAAAGAAGGAGGCGTGCCAAGATGGGCTATCACCTGAGAGGCAGTACTCATAGCCTCAGGGCCCCACCTGCTGCCCTAAGTTCTTAACTGGCTTCATACCTCCAGTGTCCAGCCCCATAAAGCCCATAGCTCCTTCCTTGGTTAATCTTCTCCAAGCACCAATGTTTTCTTGTTATTCCACAGCTTAAAGACTTGTCCTTAAAGACCATATCCTGCCCTTCCCTCGTTATGGAGAACGGGTGGCCTTCAGCTTGGACTGGAATACAGTATAGGCCGTCTTTTCCCATGTTAGCATCCAAAGATCAACCATTCCACTCGTCCATCACAAATCTGCAGCACATTCAGCTCCCTGTTTATTTCTTTATTTTTTAAAATTTATTTTATTGATGTATAGTTGATTTTCAAAGTTGTGTTAATTTCTACTGTATAGCAAATTGATTCAGATATATATGTGTGTATATATATATATATATATATATATATATATATATATATATATATAGTTTTTTATATTCTTTTCCATTATGGTTTATCACACTATATAGAATATAATTCCCTGTGCCTTACAGTAGGACCTTGTGGTTTATCCATTCTATATATAATAGTTTGAATTTGTTAATCCCAAACTCCCAATCCATCACTCCCTCACCCTCTTCCCCTTGGCAACCGCAAGTCTGTTCTCTATGTCTGTGAGTCTGTTTCTGTTTTGTAGCTATGTTCATTTGTGTCAAATTTTAGATTCCACATAGAGTGATATCATAGATTTGTCTTTCTCTTTCTGACTTACTTCACTTAGTATGATACTCTCTAGGTCCATCCATGTTGCTGCAAATGGCATTATTTCATTCTTTTTTATGGCTGAGTAATATTCCAGTGTGTGTGTGTGTGTGTGTGTGTGTGTGTACCACATCTTCTTTATGCATTCATCTGTTGAGGGACATTTAGGTTGCTTCCATGTCTTGACCATTGTAAATACTGCTTGCAGTGAATTCTGAGGTGCATGTGTCTTTTCAGATTATGGTTTTCTCTGGACTTACGCCCAGGAGTGGGATTGCTGGATCATATGGTAGCTCTATTTTGTGTTTTGTAAGGAACCTCCATACCGTTTTCCACAGTGGCTGTACCAATTTACATTCCCACCAACGGTGTAGGAAGGTTCCCTTTTCATGGAGCTCCCTGTTTAGAGATGAATGTCCACTTCAGGCACAATTCAGAAACTCGACCTCAAAGCATTGCTGCCAAAAATATGGCAGATGGTAGACATCGTTTAAGGCTTATACCCTTCATCCACTTTTGCAGGTCCTCTACCCACTCGTAAGTTAGGTTAGCAAAAACCAGTGCACGTGTTTGGCTCTCTCAAGAAAGCTTTCCCAGAGAATCAGGACATACGTGCCTTCATTTAAGGAATGCTGCAATATCAGTATTTGAAGAAAGGACTTGTGAATCCCATGAAAGTACAGCTAAAGATAGCATTCCTGTTTCCTCCACATGTGTTATGTGGCAAGTATAACGGACAACTCTCGGGCCAGCACTTTTTTTTTTTTTTTTTTTTTTTGGTATTAGGAGTGTTGCTGACTCCAGTTTGGCTGCCCCCCGCCCCGCCTTCCTTTTTTAAAAAACTCATTTATTCCTCACCTTAGTTACTTGGGTGTATTTCAAATAATATTGTAAACCATCCTCAATTCTTTTTGAAAAAATGGTAGGTTACCAGTAAATACCCGAGTCTGACCTTCAGTTGGACACCAAGAGACAGAAGAGTCAGGTCTCCAATGTCAAAAAAATGCTCCACGTAGCACCGATCAGAGCTGATGCCTCCTTGACCACATCACAGCCTCGGATGCTCTGAGCCTCCTCGCAGAATCCTTAGTTGCCCATCCTATTTTCTCATGGGTCCCATACTGCCCCACATTCTTTGCTTGCTTTGGCCCCTGTGGGTAACTTCATTTTCAATTCAGGTGCTTTCTGAATCCCTCCTCAACCTGACTTCTAAGGTTCAGTCATTTGAACTATTTAAACTAGGCTGCATAGGAAGGAACTTCTCTTATTGCAGCATTTTTCAAATTTCAGTCAATTGCATCCTGCTTCACATCTGTATCCTTATTTTGCTTAGTATCTTTTCTTAAATTCCCTCCCTGTATTTCCGATTGGACCTGAAATACAGAGTCGAGTTCATCATTATTTTTGGTTCTTGACAGACTCTTATCATCGACACAATCAAGGCTTACATTTCCTTATTTTGTTAATTACTTAGTTACTTCGAATATGTAATAAGTGTCTGTAAACCACCACCCCAAACAAAAGCCAAGATGTTGACAATAAATCCAGCCGTATGATCCCCTTCCACAACCTATCTCCTGACCATTGCCCCCCTAAAGGCATCTTGAATCTTGTATTCATTGTTCAGTTGCTTCCTTTTGTACATGGTCTCATTTCATCAATACGTACATCTAAAATGTGCATTTTTAAATTTTAATTGTTTTTAACCTTAAAAGAAGACTCTAATAGCATGTAATCTTTTGAGTCTTGCTTTTTTCACCTTATATGACTTAGATCTATCCATATTGTTCTCAGTGGCTGTAGTTCATTCATTTTGACCATTAATATAATATTCTGTTATATGAATTCACCACCATTTATTTTATTCATCTACTTTCCTGCCATTGGGTATTTGGGTGAGTTCCATGATTTTGCTGTTGTTAAGAGGGCTGCTGTGAACCTTCTTCTGCGTATCTCCTGCATTCAAGGGCTAAAATGTATCTTGGATATGGATACACAGGTGGGATGGTGGCTTATTAGAGCAGGCAAATGTTCCATTTAAGGAGGCAATGCCAAACTGTTTTCCAGAGCAGCCACACCAATTTTTCTGCCACCAATCACTACAGGTAGCTCTGAATTCACACCCTGCTCAGTACTTGTGAGTGTCAGACTTCTGAGTTTATACCAACAGGATAGGTGACAAGTCTCACTTAAACATTTTTTAAAGGGAAATTTTATATTTTTAACCATAAGTAGAAAATTCATATCACTTGTTATAAATAGGAAACCATGAAAATAAATAAATAAAACAAAACCAAAATCATCTTCAAGATCATCACTAGATACTCCTACCTACTGAAAACAATTAGCCTGAGGTCACCTTTTCCTTTATTAAAAGGGAAAGCTAGCAGGTGTTAGAGAGCATTAACGATTTAACAACAAACTAAGACAGTCTGACTGAAAGAGCATTGAAAAGGAAGTGACTTTCTCATTCTGTGACTTACGGTATTTAACTTTGAATACTCTTAATTCTTAAAATCATCTTCATTGTCACCCACACATTTGCCCTAATTTGGTTCTCTGCCGTATTTCCTTAAATAATCTCTGTGAATCACAGCCAATCCCTGAGTGATCCTGTGAGGTTCTGATGCATTGTTGACAGTGTCAACTTGTAATATGGATCTCTCTGAATAAATTCCTGTTACATTTCATCTCAGCAAACATTTCATTCCTCGGCTGGACCTAAAGAGGACAGCAAAGTCCGTTTAGATTTTACATTCTGCTTCAATAGTTAATAGATTCGTGTTGTACTTGAGGGCTCTTAGTTGGATAGTCTCTTGTCTGTCTGAACTGTTTCTGATCTTTCTGTCTTAGTTTTAACATTTTTGCATCACGTATATTTTGACACTGGAAGCTGCCTCAAGTGTCTTGGATGTGTTATTAAATAAACTATACCATAGAAAAAAGAGCTTCCACTGTGAATGAAAGAATGAATGTGAATGAAAGCAGCGATCAATACTACTTTACATCGTTTTTAAACTATTGTTTATGGTTACCTCATGTCTTTCCACCTAGATTATAAGCTGCTAGAAGACAGGAATTACCTTACGTTAAGTGTATGTGTTCCTTGGTCCGTAGCACAACATTGGATGGTAGGCATCACATAAACACTTGTAAAGGAGTGTGTTTAAGTGGCGTAGCTTCTAAGGTAATGGCAGCAAAGCTGGAAGTGGCAATGATCTCAGAAGGAGGTTGCCAAATTTTGCTTGAAGACTCGAAACTGTAATTCAAGGCTTTATTTAAGTTTAAGGAGATAGTTGTGTAGTGAGAAGAACATATGCTTTGATAGTCAAAGAAACATGGGTTCAGGTTCAATTCGGCCAATGATCAGTTGTGCCAGCTTGGGTACATTACTTAATTTTCCTGGTATGAGTGGTTAATCTATAAAATAGCATTCATGAGTCCTTCCGCATTTGACTAGGTTAAATAAAGGCAAGACATGGGCTACAGAGGAGATGTTTAAATATTGCTAATTTCCCCTCCCCCAACTTCTCTGAAGGAATTGTTTCCTATGTAGATTTGAACTTCAGAGAGAATTTCTGCTCACACCTAATAATAAGCATTCATGTTAGCATCAGTTTGATTATATACAATGGATTCGAGTGCTGAGTTTTCATTGCCTTGATGTATGACATCAGGCAAGCATTGTCTTATGTTGTGATAGGGAAGGACAAATCTGACTCCACTTTAGATTTTTTCCCTTAACTTTATGCTTTGTGCTCTGTTGCCTATGCTTAGTCATGCCGGCTCTGCACCTTTTGTAAAAGAATGTCGCCTATAGCCTGAAATATATAGGATAACCCATTCTCAAGGTTCTGACCTTTAAGGGTCCATTCATATAGAGATAAGAAGTTGGAGAACAGAAAATAACATCTGTGTTTTTGGAGGTTTACAGGAACAGCATGACCTGACCTACCTAGACAGCTGCAAGAACAAAGGATTCTGACACCAAGAAGTCTGCAACAACCAACCTCATCCCTCCCTCACCTTGCCTTTAAAAGTGCTTTGCTGAAACACTTTGGGGACTTCGGGGTTTTGGGGGGCAGAGGGCACAAGCCACCTGTCTCCCTGGTTGGCCCTTCAATAAACCTTTCACTGCTACAGACTCTGATGTTTCAGTTTGTTTGGCCTTACTGTGAGTCGGGCATAAAAACTTGCATTTGGTAGCAAAGTCAGCTATCCTTAAATGACATCTGGGTTATCTGTCATTCTCCTGAGATCAAGCCTTATAAAACAGAATGAGGAAGGCCTTCTAAAATCATGTTGCCTTCCCATGCAATAGAACTGCTACAATACTGTTTTTCTTCATAAAACCAGTCTGTCAGTTTGCTGGGTGACAATTCTGCTTCAGCTCTGAACACTCAATGTTCCTTCACCTCATACATAATCAAGGATAAAAGATATTCAGAATCGTGTGGACACTGCAGCTCTCCCAAAGGATTCTACTGACCCTGAGAATACGTGCTGGAAATGACGGATAACATTTGCGTTCTGTGTGGGATAGGGCCTTGCATACTCCAAGACACCCTGATGAGGAGGCTGGAGAATGTTATTCAGACGAGGCCAGCATCAGATCCTGGGCAAATCAATGGGGGTTCTTGTAAGATATGAATCACGTCCATTATTTGACCCACACTTAAGATTCTGAGTCTGTCAATGAAGTTGGTCAAATTGGCAGAAATGTCTGTTCTGGTCTCTGTGAACAGTGGAGTATAAAATTGCTCTGAGTGGAAAATTCAACTCTAGCAGGAATCACGAGTCTGCAGCCAACACCATCAAGCAAACTGAAAACCAACCAGAATATTAAAAAAACAAATGACCACAAACCATACAAAATGTTCAGGTCCGTGGTATAAAGAAAAATACTCCAAGGACTCCAAAGGTCTGATTTATTAAAGACTTCGGTTCTCGCAAATGCATAAAATTGCACAATGACTCATAGAAAATCCATCCCTCAAGGCATTTTGCACCAGGTAGAAGATATATGAAGAAAAACCCCATTTATATAAGGAGCCCATGATCACTGTGATTTATTAGGCAATTTCCCCACATGCAATACTGTGTGAACACCAGGCCCAGCATGGAACCCTAACCAGAAGAAGAAATCAAGATGAGGCCAGAGGGCCCAGCAAATGTCTGGATTCAAAGGCATGTTTGTGTGCAACTTGGCAGCAATGAGAACAAGTAGGGAGGCTGGAAATCTTAAAGAAAGAAAAACATTTCCTCTTGGGCTCCAGCAACTAGAGAATGAAGGTTTTCCCAGAGACCATTCATTCCCAGCTAGCTCTCTGGTCCTACAAAATATTAGGGCCTCACCACATCTCCACTTTCTTCCAAAGAAGGCAGAGGTGGCCTGATCCGCTGTGGACTGGCTCCCAGGGGCCTTTACTGGAAGTGTCTGTTCCCCTGTGGGCCCCCCTTCCCTGAGGTGTGCTTCCATCGTGCTGGTCCAGAAGATTAAGATTTACACTGAGCTGCACTGAAATATTATGGCTTAGGGATGCAGAGGCAGGGAAGAGGGTGCTAGATGATGATGCTGAAGTCATGTTGGCGGAAAACGAAGTGTGAATTTTACTCTAAAAACGCCTGAAACCACTCCCTCTGTGATCCTGGATGCTACATCTAAAATGGAGCCTGGGGCTTCCCTGGTGGCGCAGTGGTTGAGAATCTGCCTGCCAATGCAGGAGACACGGGTTCGAGCCCTGGTCTGGGAGGATCCCATATGCCACGGAGCAACTAGGCCCGTGAGCCACAACTACTGAGCCTGCGCGTCTGGAGCCTGTGCTCCGCAACAAGAGAGGCCGCCATAGTGAGAGGCCTGCGCACCGCGATGAAGAGCGGCCCCCGCTTGCCACAACTAGAGAAAGCCCTCGCACAGAAACGAAGACCCAACACAGCCAAAAATAAATTAATTAATTAAAATGGAGCCTGTTTGAGATGCTCAAAGTGTATTAAGGAAATTTCATTCAACAAGATGACTAGGAATAAGTCGTGACTTTCTCCAGCTAGTTTCATGGAGTATTGCCACGTGGCATATTTCTGTCTCCAGGCACTCGCAGAATATTTAAATTACATGGCTGGAACTCAACATGAGATGATATTAAAAAGTTTAATGAAAGCTCAAGGTGGGCTTCCATGGTGGCGCAGTGATTAAGAATCCACCTGCCAATGCAGGGGACATGGGTTCGAGCCCTGGTCCGGGAAGATCCCACATGCCGCAGAGCAGCTAAACTCGTGCGCCACAACTACTGAGCCTGAGCTCTAGAGCCCGTGAGCCACAACTACTGAACCCGTGTGCTGCAACTACTGAAGCCTGTGCGCCTAGAGCCTGCGCTCTGCAACAAGAGAAGCCGCCTCAATAAGAAGCCCATGCACTGCAATGAAGGGTAGGCCCCACTCGCTGCAACTAGAGAAAGCCTGTGCACAGCAGTGAAGACCCAACACAGCCCAAAACAAAATAAATAAATAAATTTTAAAAAAAGAAAGAAAAAAGAAAGCTCAAGGCATATGCAGCCTTATTTCAGGCTTGGCAGTTTGAATGTCATGATGGAATTCTGTCTACTATGTTGACTACAGCTGTAGAAGCTGGTGGGCCTCCATGTCTCTTCCTGTACCTCTGGCCTTCTCCTGGGTGTTTTCACTGTAGATGCTCAGAGAATGAATGGCCTTAGTCTCAGGCTCCACTCTGTTTGATTTTTAAACTTGTAACTGCAGGTCAATGAGGCCAGGATCCTTCAGGGTGCGGGGATGGGGGGAAAGGAAAAGAAAACTTGAATGTTTCACTTGGGGTCTTTCCTGTCCTCTCTTTTCTCCAATAAGATTTTTCTGTCTGCAGAGGGTCATCCCCTGATTTCTTGAGTTCCCCTTTTCCCATATTTACCTATTCAGCTCTCCAACTGCCTTAAAAAAGCACAGTCAAGGAAAACAAACAAGCCAACAGTTAACTCATCAAAGTACCTATTTTATTTTATTTTTTTACTATGCATTATTAAGTGAAGCCTAGTTAATTTACAATGTTGTATTAGTTTCAGGTGTACAGCAAAGTGATTCAGTTATACATATATATATATATATATTCTTTATCAGATTCTTTTCCATTATAGATTATTACACGATATTGAGTATAGTTCCCTGTGCTATGCAGTAGGTCCTTGTTGTTTACCTATTATATATATAGTAGTGTGAATATGTTAATCCCAAAGTCCTAATTTATCTCTCCCCACCTCCATCTCCTTTGGTGACCATAAGTCTGTTTACTATGTCTTCATAGCATCTATTTTTCAAAACAACCATTGGAATTCAGGTGCCCGTTCTAATCTCCATTTCACAATTTGCCAACATTTAATTAATCTGTCTGCACCTCTGTTTCCTCATTTACCAAATGAAGATAGTAATAACCAACTCAAAATGTAAATGTAAAACATAGGGCCTGATACATGCAAAGTGCTTAATAAAAGGTTAAAAAAATCATCGTTATTAATATTAACAGCTGCTAAATGATGTTGCTTGATAAATTATTAGCAGTTCAAATTCAGACAGATTTCTTTCAAACAGATGTGTGTAGCTACTGTCTCACATAGCCTTGGACATCCTCAGAAGTATATCTGGAATACTGACATGGAAAAATCCACTAACAACCCTTCCTTGCTGTTTCTCAGTTATTATCCTATGTTCCCTATTCAGATCCTTGCTTATACTTAAAATTGATGCTTTTTTTTTTTTTTTTTTTTTTCGGTACACGGGCCTCTCACTGTTGTGGCCTCTCCCGTTGCGGAGCACAGGCTCCGGACGCGCAGGCTCAGCGGCCACGGCTCACGGGCCTAGCTGGGATCTTCCTGGACCAGGGCACGAACCTGCGTCCCCTGCATTGGCAGGCGGACTCTCAACCACTGCGCCACCAGGGAAGCCCTGATGCATTATTTTTACTTCTCATACTTGCTTAATGTTTTTTTCAGCTCTCTGTCTGTGATAACTATATGCAACATGCTTTTTTTATCTTGCTTCATGAACAGACCAACAGTCATGGTGAAGTCCACATACACTTTGTGTAGCACAGCACACGCTATAAATGCTGTTGATAATCCTGAATGCAGAAGGGTTCATCACATTTTAAAAGCCTTTCTGTGATTTTTTTTTTTGGTGGCTTGTGCCTCACATTGGGCCTTCACATGAGCCTACCTCTCGTTACCAAATCGTTGATTGTCTTCTGCAGCCAATCCTTATCAAACTGTATGGTTTCAAGGGGAAAGTCACAAAAGGAATATGTAAGTTACTCACATATATTGTTCCAGTACATGACCCCAAATTTGAAGGCAACCATCTCTCTTTTCATGCTTTAAATTAACTCAGAACATCCGTTCTAGTGTCAGAAGTGTTGTTAGAATGATGGTGGTAAAATAGTTTTTGACTTATTTGTTGGTCTGGCTACCAGTGTACAAGAGTCACTAGTTCAGGAAAGTTCTTCCCATAAGCCCAAGTGATATAGATATATTACTATCACCCCCAAAGCAAAGATGTCTGATTTTCAATTTATAGACTGATAACAACTTAACAGCAATTATTATAAGTGGACTATATTAGGTCATTGTGTTAATCATCAACGTGCATTTCAGAGCCTTGTGAGGTTCAATTGTCAAAAAGTAATTTATAAAGTTCCATGGTTAAATGTGGAAAATATATCTCAGCTTGAAAATAAAATTATATATTGTGGTTTCAAATGCTGTATTTTAGAGAGATGTACTGAATAATTACTGAAGTTAATTAAGTAACCATGAATATTAAATGCCTTACTTCCCTACTTTTTGAGTGAGACTATAGAGTACAGATGGTACTTGGCATTTGTGGGCATTTATGGGGAAGGGGGGAAACGTGAACTTTAAGTTAAAAAATTCCTGAGGAGTTTCCCCCCACAAATAAATTTCTGATGTCCCATTTTGTTTTACCAATAAAACTTTCAGGGAGTAGCTGATTAATTAGAGGATATGTTTGAGAATATTCCACTCATTTTTTTTTCTGGTAAGACTAAACGATGGAAAAGAAGTATAAAGTATAAGAAACTGATGATTTTATGATCTAATATGAGTGGAATCATGCACAAGTTGTGTGTGTGTGTTTTTTCTTATTTTGGGGCCCATCCTGATTCACTATTAATATGTTTTTAAAAATCAAGGAGGAACTTGTCCAAACCTCAGTTCATAGGAATGGAATTAATATTGCTGTAAAAACAAAGAGTGGGGGGAATAAACTCTGGCACTCTAGCTAACAGGAACCGTTGAAGTCAGCAGCCGTGAGGACCATGTGACTCATTCCGGGAAAGAACTTTCCTCTGATGGGGTTTCGACTGCTCCCATCAGCTATTAGCTCAGCTTTTTAAATTAACCATATTAAGACCCACCAAAATTGCCTAGAAAAAGTCATGTGTTGATGTATTGTCCATGTATTTGAAGATACAAGGATTGTGAGAGATGGACGCTCTGAAGAATGTTTTTTCTTTTTGTAGCATTTCTTGTAAAATTAAAAAAAAAACTGAGTTGGAAAAATAAAGTTTTATGGAAAAATTTCTAAGTCCTGTTCAAATGAAAAACATTACAGGGATTTTTTTTTTTTTCTTACCTCAGTTGGTCTTGTTTTCAAAAAAATATGACACATGCCATTTAAAAACTTCAAGATGGGAGAAGAAAAGTCATATGATTTCAATTAAAATAGGTTCTTTTTGTCTCCCAGAGAGTATTTAAGTATTCCATGGGAGCCTGAGAAATCAGTGAAGTATTATACGTTTTTCAGAAGGGATGTGCTGCATTATCGCACAATTTCTTGCCTGTGGTCTGGTCTCATGCAAATTTCTCAATTTGCTTGGAAGAGGAAGGCTATTTCCTGGTTGAAACAAATTTCTCTTTCACGTATTTTATCAGACTAGGTTTCAGTGATGAACCCTCACATCTCAATGGCTAAAACCACAGTGGTTTATTTCTCATTCACGCTACACAACTACACATCCATCAGGCTCATTTTGGGCACTCGGGGACCCAGTTGCTGAGACTCAAGCCAGGTGGAAAGAACGCTTTGGAAGGTCTTGCCTTAGCAATTAAATACTTAGCTCATAATTGACCCAGTTCAGATATTGGCCAGAACTAGTCACATGATGCCATCCTACCCTAAGGAAGCCAGGAAGTACAATCTTTCCGTGCGTTGGATTTATTTGATTGACTGTATGAACACAACCGTACATATAATGGCACATTAATTACATTAATTACTTGGAGCTTGGCTTCCAATTCTTCCTCCTTGGTAGGAAGGTGTCCATGAATTCTAAAATCACTTGCAATTCATGTAATTTGTTGACCCATCTCTTCCTACCTTGTTTCTTATCAACAGACATCAGTTTAGGTTAAACATATGGACATTTGGTCATCATCAAGCTAGAGGTTGGACATATATTTACCTTAGATTCCTGTATTTTCATAAGGCAGATAATTCACCAATTATCATCCAATTGAGAATTTATTTGTGCTCTTTTTCATTAGCATGAGATTTTAAATTTCTCTATTATGACTCACCAGAGAAATCACTAGTCGGAAATTGTTTCCCCTCCAGGAACTCACAAAATCTGACTCAGCTTTCTGGTTAGAAAGAGAGATGTTTTCAAAAATTAATTTTAATAGCTGTCC